GGCTCAGTGGGTTAAGCCGCTGCCTTCTGCTCAGGTCATGATCTCAGAGTCCTGGGATCGAGCCCCGCGTCGGGCTCTCTGCTCAGCAGGGAGCCTGCTTCCTCCTCTCTCTCTGCCTGCCTCTCTGCCTGCTTGTGATCTCTCTGTCAAGTAAATAAATAAAATCTTTAAAAAAAAAAAAAAAAAAAGAAGAAGTGTGAAAGAAAGTGCCTGACAAACTTCTGCGGAGAACTCAGTCCACTGAAGTACAGGGAATGCTTTCTAGTTCAAGACAAGGCAAATGCACTGTTCCATGTCTGCAGGCCAGCAGCTATAAGAATCTAGGGATTTCTTGGCTAACCCATCATCAGAAAGGTACGTACTGGGAATGCCTACCTTTGACACCCAGAGCTTAGATTCAAATAATGCTAACATGTATTGACCATCACAAGAGACAAAGAAGGACATTATAGAATGATAGAAGGGTCAATTCACCAGGAAGACATAACCATTATAAACATATATTCCTCCCAAAGCCAGAACACCTGTAAGTATAAAGCAAACACAGACAGAACTGAAGGGAGAAACTGACAGCAACAGACAGCAGGAGACTGCAATACCTTCGGTAATGGGACCCAATACCCAGAAGGCAGATCACTAAGGGAAGAGAGGACCTGAACGACACTATAGATCAAAGGGACCTAACATAGACAAAACATTCCCCCCAACAGCATCAGAGTGCACGCTATTCTCAAGTACAAACATAACATTTTCCAGGAGAGGTCACATGTCAGGTCATAGAACAAGGTTTACAAATTTAAGGCGACTGAAATTATACCAAGTGTCTTTTCTAATGACAATGGAATAAAACCAGAGCTCGGTAGCAGAAGAAAAGCCGGGAAACTCACAAATAAGCAGAAACTAAACAACCCAGTCTTCAACAACCAATGAGTCAAAGAGTAAGTCATAAGGGAAATGAGAAAACATCTGGAGACAAACGAGAATGAATACACAACATGCTAAAGCTTATGGATGCAGCAAAAGCAGAACTAAGAGGGACATTTATAGAAGAAAGATCTCAAAGAGCTAATTTTACACCTCAAGCAATTAGAAAATGAAGAACTAAGCCTATAACTGTTTTCCAATACCCAACTCACTCTAAGTTTCAAGTTTTTATTTACATTCAGTTAGTTAACATATAATGTAAGTTTCAGGTGTAGAATTTAATGATTCATCCCTTCCAACACCCAAGTCTACATAAAATCTTGAATAATTACTGCTGGAGCTCTCCCCACCTACTGACTCTTAATCTACCACGTGGTCTGTTTATCTTTGTATGATCTTGTGTTTTTGTCCAAATACATGCAAATATAGGAAGAATGGTTAGATGTTAACAATTTTTAGCTCGCTTTCAATATATTTTTCATAGCAACCTTTCCTTAATGACATTTTAAGTCTTTTTTTTCTTACCATTCCAGTCTTTCAAAATAGCTTAAGTATACATAAAAATTACAAACTTAGATTTTCCCAAGTACAGCTCTAAAAATTATATTAAATGAGGAAAAAAATTACACTTTTAATCCCTGCAAGAATTTCATAATTTTAATGGACAGAACCATATCAGCAGGAAAAAAAAATAAAAAAAAAAACAAAAAAAAAACAACTGAACTGGCTCCCTTATGCAAAAAAAAATCTTAAAATCTTAAACAATTTTACTTTTACTGATTGACTGGAAGTACCTCTACTATGTCTCTTGCAGTATTTTCTTTCTTTACAGGACAATCTTTGCTAAATTTTAAGTCCAGAGATTTTTTCCCATTACCATAGACACTTAACAAGCAAAAGAGATAATGCTTTGTAAGCTTTTAAATATAGCAGAAATGGGGGGCAAGTATTATGTGATAGGCTTTGTTTGTTTTCCTGTAACCCATTAGAAAACAAAATACCATGAATTTCTTTTTTCTAACTCTAGTATGAGTTAAGTCTTCAGGTAAAAAAAAAAAAAAAAAAAAATAGGGACTTTGGTTAAACTGGTTTCCATCACTGTGAACCTCATTTCAGATTATCATGTTTAAGTTGACACCAATTATTCTCTCATCAAAATTCCTTACTTATTATTTCTGAGAATTTGACCAACACCTTTATTTTGGTAAACAGAAATGATATTTATCAGAAAAATCTAAGTTATCCATAACTTACTAAAGCCATTGTTAGTAAAGTTAAGTTCAGGGTTTACCAGTCATTTCATTAGCCTTTAAAGAAGCTATTTTTAATTTTTAATTTTTATTCTAACTGTGAAAGGTAAATAAAGCCTTGCGAAATCTTAATTAATGACAAACAGAAAATTTGGCACTACTGTATTAGATTTGCAAACACTCTTTAGGATGTTAGGGGCCAGCCCTGCCAAAACAAAAACAAAACCAAGATGTAACGGTCACAGCCAACTCTCATTTCTTCATCCTGTGCTACCTAACACCTGAAAAAAAATTCTTTTTTTTTTAAAGATTTTATTTATTTTAGAGAGAGAGAGAGAAAGAGGGAAGGACAGTGGGAGAGCCTCTTTTTTTTTTTTTTTTTAAAGATTTTATTTATTTATTTGTCAGAGAGAGAGAGGGAGAGAGAGCGAGCACAGGCAGACAGAATGGCAGGCAGAGGCAGAGGGAGAAGCAGGCTCCCTGACGAGCAAGGAGCCCGATGTGGGACTCGATCCCAGGACGCTGGGATCATGACCTGAGCCGAAGGCAGCTGCTTAACCAACTGAGCCACCCAGGCGTCCCAGTGGGAGAGCCTCTTAAGCAGACTCCCCACTGTGCATGGAGCCTGACAGGGGGCTCAATCTCAAGGCCTATGAAATCACGATCTGAGCCGAACCAAGAGTTGGAAACAACCACCTGAATCAGCGGGGTGCCCCCTGGAAAAAATATTCTGACTCTAATATAATTGATGTTTACAACGGAAAAAGACATTCAATAAGAACTATGATCTGTATCTATGCTTACTACCTTTAAGAGGTAATTTGCTATTTATTTTTTGCACAGATGTAATAAATGGCTATTTACTTTTTGGCTCAGCTAATCAAAAACACGTCAGAATAAAATTTCATCATTTATAATAATCTAACTTCCTTACCAGGACTATCTCTCCTAATCCAAGCTGAGCACGTCCCAAAGTCTGCCAAGACTCCCATGAATGTGGATTTCTCTGGACAGCCATTTCAGCTGCATGTACTGCTGGGAACATTTCATGAAGAGACATTAGGACCTGTAGCCAAAAAAAAAGAAACAAAACTTGTCAGTAATACTCATAAACTAGCAAACTACTAATGAATAACCATATAGAAACTTTTTCATTTTTAAAAAAATATTTTTAGTCTGGTAAATATAGCATCTCAGTGGTTTTGACCCACACCTCTGCCTGCAGGGTCAGGAAAGACTATTCTTCCTATTTCTAAAATAACGATGAAAATATAAACTATCCCCTTCTCAGTCATTGAACACTCTTGTCCATCAGTTAAAAAAAAGTGATCATGATCTAGCCATGGTGGTTCAGAGATATTTGAACTCTTAATTCCACTTTTGATTATTCTATTTACAATGTGGATTTCTATTTACAGTGTGCCTTACGTTTGAGATCATCATCTGAAAGGTATCTGTAAAGTGTGTAGATCAAGGCTGAATTGCAACTATTCCCTCCCAAAAATATGTCTGATACTCCATTAGAGATTTTAAAGTCTTTTGGATAACTTAATCCAAGTGCTCAGAGATTTTGTTTATAGACTTTCCCACAAAATAATAGAAATGTATTTTTAAAATTCAAATGTTATTTCCAAACTATTAATAAATTGAGTCTATTCTGACCTTTTGCTAAGGACTAGGCCATTTTTAGAGAAATATCATCATACAGAGTCTAACCATCCTCATTCTGAAGAAACAAAGCTATTGCCCAGTTCACTACAATTAATTCCCAAGGCAAGCAAACACATTTCATTTAAGAAATCACCACTAAAAAAAAAAAAAGAAGAAGAAGAAGAAGAAAAAAAGAAATCACCACTGACTTCCTAAAAGATAGGCATCTGTTCATATCTTACCAAGGTTGAAATAAGTTAACTTCACTGTGAAAATTAATGAATTTCTTATGTCATGCAAAAGGCAGAGCCATAAATAATACAGTGATAATATTTTATCACCCAGGGCCTACCAATAATAATACGGTAACACATTTTGGAAAGGAAATATTAAAAAATTTGAAAAAGACATATTTGGGAAAGAAATGCCATTTTGGTTCATTACTGTTCACCAAACACATATGAACACAACACAGTGAGATTTCATAATGAAACTGAAATTCTCCATGATCCTTACCTGTGATTTCATTTCATACAGGGTGGCATCATCTGGGGTTAACTGCAGTGCTTCATCCCATTTTTGAATTGCCTCTCGATATCTGTGGTTAAGTTACATTAATATCATATTTTTAATAAGGCCTTCAGAGTACCTGACTAAATATTTAAATCGGGTACTAAGGAATACTTGTATATCAAGAAATAGCTCTATTCAAGAACTCACAATAACAGTAACATTACAAAAGCAAGAAAAATTAAGAGTTAAAGGGAAAAGACAGCAAAAGAGAAAAAGACAAATATAAATGCAAAAGATCTTAGAAATCTCTCTCCAATTTTACTTTCCCGGCTGAGAAATCGCCATCAAAATTTCCCTTTTTTCATCAACCCCAATGTGTCTGCAAATGTTGTCATACATGTCGCAAGTATTACAAAGGACTTTTCTGAGGAATTTATAATCCAGTTGCAATCCTGGGCAATCCTGAAACAATCTAGCTGACACACAACACTTTAAGAAGTTGCCTGATAACTGTGTAAAGACTCTTTTGGGGCACCTGGATGGCTCAGCTGGTTGAGCGTCTGACTCTTGGTTTTGGTTCAGGTCATGATTTCAGGGTCATGGAATTGAGCCCTGCCTCGGGCTCTGTGCTCAGTGGGGAGTCTGCTTGAGAATTCTCTCTCTCTCCCCCCTCTGCATTGCTCTCCCCCCTGGCTCTTGCTCTCTCTCTCTCAAATAAATAATCTTTAAAAAAGATTCTTCAGTTTTAAGTTTCCTTGTCTGTAAATTCCATGAGCTCAGGAACTATATCTTTTCATCACTATTAATACAAGGTAAGCTTATAAAAAATGGGTCAAATGAGGGGCACCTGGGTGGCTCAGTGGGTTAAGCCTCTGCCTTCGGCTCAGGTCATGATCCCAGGGTCCTGGGATCGAGCCCCACATTGGGCTCTCTGCTCAGTGGGGAGCCTGCTTTCCCCCCTCTCTCTCTGCCTGCCTCTCTGCCTACTTGTGAGCTCTGTCAAATAAATACATAAAATCTTTTTTAAAAAATGGGTCAAATGAATGAAAAACAGCTTAGAGATGGTGATTTCCACTACCACTTTTCCACTGATGTCCTCCTAGTGAGGTTTTTCTTGTGACCTCCAGAGCCGTATGGTCAACTAGCATCTCTGCGAAGACACCACGAATTCCTCCTGCCTAAAACCGATGTTAGTGTGCCACGTCCAAATTTGCAGAAGCACTGCAGCACTTTCTTTTTTAAATAAAATTAAGGAATAACAAAGTCCTATATGTTATCCTTCTATGTTATCCTATATGGTATCCTTCACAAGTGTTTAACTCACGTATATGTGACTATTTCTAGAAAGAGAAAGTCCTATTTGCCAGAATATATCTTCCATGACAACAAGCAGAAACTTTCTATTCTGTACCTTCCTCCCAGTGCTACTAATTCTGGTTTCTCGAGATAAACAGAAAATATGTAACCCACTAGTTTTAATTCTTGGCTATACCAGAATGATCTAGGGAGATTCTGGAAGGGAAGAAATACACAACACACACACACCACACATATACACAGAGCTGAGCCTAGCCTCAGCTCACCTAAAACAGATATTCTCAGAGGAGGACCCAGGCATCTAAATTTTTTGAACCAGGAAACGCTAATAAACACCAAGGTGGTGAACCATTGATAATATCTTTCATAACATATTAAGACCTATCATGTGCTACCTTCTATGGAATCACTCATTGTTTCCTGTTTTCCAGACCCTTCATTTCCTCTGTATGTGTTCTTCTGCATAATTTCCTACTTGAATATGTGAAGATCCAAACCAAAGATACCAACCAAAATGTGGGCCAATATGCACTGATTATTATTATTATTTAAACAGAGGACAGTGAAGTAGAGAAATACAGGTGACATTTGGGAGAAAATGCAAAGCTTGAAGAACATAAAAAAGTACATTCTGTTTTCACCTTGCTAGAGAGTTCTTTGACTAGCAAGGAATACAGATGGGCAGTACCATTTCCAGGGGTCTCATGCCGTCTTGGCAAATGAAAATGGGCTACCAACACCTGTAAATAGGTCTGCCACAGAGCCGGCCCCATGGCTAGCAGCAGTGGAAAGGTGGACATGGTGGGAGTGTGCTTTACACATCCCGCCGGAGCTGCCATGATAGGCTGCAGCAGCGGCTACCGCAACTTGGTAATAGCAAGCTAGACAGAGCTAGATGCTTCAGATTGACCCTGGAAAAGCTGGTAGTCTTTGCTTCCAGGCAAACCAATCTGAAAACGCAGACATAGCTATCAGAACTACTGCCTGGACCACAGTTAATATCTTCTTCCCTAACAGGGGCCCCTGCTGAGTACTGAAGAGTTACCTATTTGAACACTGTGTTTACTTCTGGGTGAAGGACTACTAGAGTTTTAGGAATACAGTGTGACCATTATTCACTTCATTTTTATGATGTGCTACCACAATGCTGAATGTTTTTCCCTGCTTCTGCCTGTGTCAGAAATATTCTTGGCGGGAGGGGAGGGGCACCTAGGTGGCTCAATTGGTTAAGCACCTGCCTTCAGCTTAGGTCATGATCTCAGGGTCCCAAGACTGAGCCCCGCATTGGGCTCCCTGCTCAGTGGGGAGTATGCTTCTCCCTCTCCCTCTGCCATGCCCCTCTGCTCCTGCTCTCTCTCTCCCTCTCTCTCTAAAATAAATAAAATCTTTAAAAAAAAAATAATCTTTAAAAAAAAATTTAGGTAGTTAACACACAGGGCAATATTGGCTTCTGGAGTAGAACTCAGTGATTCATCACTTACATACAACACCCAGTGCTCATCATAACAAGTGCGCTCCTTAATACCCATCGCCCATTTAGTACCCCCCCAGCCCCCTCAATTAAACCTCAGTTTGTTCTCTATTGTTAAGAGTCATTTATGGCTTATTTCCCTCTCTCCTTTTTTTCTTTTCTCCCTTCCCACACATTCACCTGTTTTCTTTCATAATTCCACATATGAGTGAGTTCATATGGTATTTGTCTTTCTCTGACTTATTTCATTTAGCAGAATATAATCTGGCTCCATCCATGTCGTTGCAAATGGCAAGATTTCATTCTTTTTGATGGCTAGGTAATATTCCAGTGTGTGTGTGTGTGTGTGTGTGTGTGTGTGTGTGTGTGTGTATGTGTGTGTGTTTTAAACATCTTCTTCAGCCATTCATCAGTCAATGGGCATTTGGGTTCTCTGCTGCTCTAACATTATGGTGCTTACATGAAGTGTTTGTTTTTATACAAAATGTTCTTAAATCAGGGGCGCCTGGGTGGCTCAGTGGGTTAAGCCGCTGCCTTCGGCTCGGGTTGTGATCTCAGGGTCCTGGAATCGAGTCCCGCATCGGGCTCTTTGCTCGGCAGGGAGCCTGCTTCCCTCTCTCTCTCTGCCTGCCTCTCTGTCTGCTTGTGATCTCTCTCTGTCAAATAAATAAAATCTTTAAAAAAAAAAAAAAGTGTTCTTAAATCAGGTCTTTCTTGTATTCTATACCTGAGTAAAGGACACTTGTTTTGATATAATTGTTTTGATATAAAAAATTATTTCCCAAATACACAGAGAAGAATCAGAAAATATAGGAAAGCACATGCATACACACCCATACCCCCCACATACAGAAATTAAAGACAACAACCATAGTTAATATAGTTAACACTTTATTGTATACACTTCCAGTTTGTTTTAATATATATCACACATATGAAACTTTTTTTAATGTCTTTAAATTATCAAATGCTTCTCTCTGTATTATAATGCTCAGAGACTGATTACTACTGTTTCAATACAAAATTCATTCAAATGGATCCTCTACTGTTAGACATTATATTTAAAAGCTGCTAAGAGAGTAAATCTTAAATGCTCTCACCACACAAAAAAAGCAAATGTGAGGTGATGGATGTATTAACTAACTTTTTACCGTGGTAATCATTCTGCAATATATATGTTTATCAAATCATCACATTCTATACCTTAAACTTACATAATGTTATACATCAATTATATCTCCATAAAACTTGAAAAAATTACCCTTTGGTCATTACTGCTATCTTTTTGGAAGGAAGTGGGCCATGAACAATTGCTGAAGAAGGAAAGCTGTATTTTGGAAGTCAAATATACACATATTATACTTGATATAAAACTGACTGGAAATGAGATCACTTTAGAAGGAAGGATGGTACAACTTAAAATATCATTCTCATTAATTTCCTTTATGAAAAAAGCCAATGAGGGAAGAAATAAGTATATTATATTATATTATATTATTATATTAACATTATTATGTATTAATATTATCAGTGTTAGGGGCGCCTGGGTGGCTCAGTGGGTTAAAGCCTCTGCCTTCAGCTCAGGTCATGATCCCAGAGTCCTGGGATCGAGCCCCATATCGGGCTCTCTGTTCAGCAGGGAGCCTGCTTCTTCCTCTCTCTCTCTCTCTCTCTCTCTGTCCGCCTCTCTGCCTAATTGTGATCTCTGTCAAATAAATAAATAAAATCTTTTAAAAAATATATATTATCAGTGTTAGTATTATTATATGTAGTAAATATTATATTTACTATAATATACTATAATATATGTCTAGACTCCTCCCCTTCAGATTTTCTATTAATATGACCCACTAGGGCACCTACTATAATATGCTATACTGTAAGTCTATACTCTTCCCCTTCAGATTTTCTATTAATATGACCCACTGGGGCACCTGGGTGGTTCAGTAGGTTAAACACCTGACCTTTAAAATCCAATTGTTATTTGGTAAGAATATATTCAAAAAAAAAAAAAAAAAAAAGAAAGAAAAGAAAAAAGGGGAGTGCATTGGGGGAGGTGGAGGTGGATGAGGGGATGAGACAGAGAATCTTAAGCAGAATCTGTGCTGGCCCATGCTAGGCTCAAACTCAACTCTGAGATAATGACCTGAGCTGAACCAAGAGTTGGACACTTAACCAACTACGCCACCCAAGTGCCCCAAAATTTGTACAAATGAAAAGCAAATCTTGCCTTCACTCCTGTCCTCTGGTCTATTAGATCACTTTCCCACAGGCAACCAGTTACCAGTTCCTTGATA